GTATAGAGTAAAGGAGTTTATTGACGTACACTGACATTGGGATTTCTTATTCGCGCCATTCTCTGAACATGTGCACAGTACAACAGTGGATTTCAAAATGGTACATAATAAATAGTGATAGTATGTACAGTAGAACAATAAATACATGGTAGTTCAAGTCCGAAGTGTATAGTGCAGAGGCACATTGAGTTCTGAGGCATTGCACAGTTAGCTGTTAATGTGCGCTGCTGTGGGGTAGAAGCTGAGTCTAGGGGTCTGTGCTTCAGTGATGCAGTACCGCTTGCCAGAGTGCAGGGGGAGAACAGTTTGTGTCCGGGATGGCTGGGATCCTGGATGATGGACTGGGCTTTATTGCGACAGCGGATGGTGTGGATCTCACCGACTGATGGCGTCTGTACCACTGCCACAGCCCTTGGTAGAGGGTCTTTATCTTGTTTGGCAGTATTTCTGTACCACGTAGCGAGGACACTCTCTCTATGGTGCTGTGGTAAAGGGTCATGAGGAACTGCGTTTCTTAAGGCACCTCAGAAAGTGGAGACACTGCCGTGCTTTTTCAGACCGGCTGCAGTGTCTTGAGCTCAGGCCAAGCAGGTGGAGATCTGCAGGCGAGGAAGCTGAAGCTGCTGACAGTTTTCACTGCTGTGCCCTGATGCTGATTGGGGCATGACTCCCTCTGGGGCTCCTGAATTAATTATTCATAAAAATGTGGTCTGATCTTCCACTTAGTCACAATAACAGACAAACACAATCTGCTTAAACTCATAAGATACAACTGTACTTCTTGTCACTATTGAACACATCATTTAAACAGTCAGACTCCAGGCTAGAAAAAGTACGTGAACACGTGCATTTAGTAACTGGTAGAACCTCCTTAAGCAGCAATAACCTCCTCCCAACGTTTCCTGTAACTGCTGATGAGACTTGCACAACGGTTAGGAGGAATTTTAGACCATTCCTCCTTACAAAACTGTTTCAGTTCATTGATATTTCTGGGATTCCTTGCGTGAACAGCTCTCTTCAGGTCATGCCACAGCAGCTCAATTGGGTTGAGGTCCAGACTCTGACTTGGCCATTCCAGAACACTCATTCTTTTCTGTTTCAGCCATTCTGTTGTCGATTTACTCCTGGGTTTCGGGTCATTGTCTTGTTGCATCACCCAACTTCTATTAAGCTTCAGGTGACGGACCGCTACCGTGACATTCTCCTGTAAAATTTCATGATGCAGTTTTGAATTCATTGTTCCCTCTATGATAGCAAGCTGTCCAGGCCCTGAGGCAGCAAAGCAGCCCCAGACCATGATGCTCCCTCCACTTTGCTTCACGGGTGGGATGAGGTTTTGGTGTTGGTGTGCAGTGCTTTTTCCTCCAAACATAGCATTGCGCATTTCTGACAATTCAAGTTGTCTCATTTGTCCACAAAACATTGTCAAACATCCAGGTGGTCTTTTGCAAACTTGAGACGTGCAGCAATGTTTTGTTTTTTTGGAGAGCAGTGGTTTCCTCTGTGGTGTCCTTCCATTAACAACATTCTTGTTCAGTGATCTTCTTATAGTGGACACATGAACAGAGACTTTGGCAAGTTCAGGAGATTTCTGCAGGTCCTTTGATGTTACCCCAGGGTTCTTTTCCACCTCCTTCAGCAGTGCAAGCTGCACTCTTGCTGTGTTCTTTGCAGGACACCCACTCCTAGGGAGAGTAGCAGCAGTATTGAATTTCCTCCATGTGTAGACAATTTGTCTTACTGTGGATTGATGAACACCCCTGCCTTTAGAAATGCTTTTGTTGCCTTTTCCAGCTTTATGCATCTCTACAATTCTTCTAAGGTCCTCTGATATATCTTTTGATCAGGGCATGGTTCACATGAACAGCTCTTCCTCAAGAAGAGCAAACTCTGTCAGTAACCAACCTTTGTGTGCCTTTTTTATAGGGCAGGGCGGCTTCAACCCACTCCTCCAGTCTCATCTCATTGATTGGAACACCTGACTCCAATTAGCTTTTGGAGAGGTCATTAGCCTAGAGGTTCACATACTTTTTCCAGCCTGGACTGTGAATGTTTAAACGATGTGTTCAGTACTGACAAGAAGAAATACAATTGTTTGTGTGTTATTAGTTGAAGCAGA